TGACTTAACATTAATAAATAGTTCAGTCATTTAGCTGATTTAGATTCAATGTAACAAATTCTTTTCTAAACACGATTATCTACAAATACAGCAAGCTGCCTTAAGAGTTCTGTATCATTTGAGATAGTCAAGACAAAGCTACATATTCATTGGCCATAATTACTGTAAAAGGCACTGCTGCTCTGTTTGCGAGATTAGACAAGATCACTGTAAGATAGTAATCATCAGCTTCACCACTGAACCACTCTGGTTCTCTGATGCTTCTGGAGTTACACTTCTGAAGACATCATTATGGTTCCTGACATCATTACATTTTAACAAACTAAAAAAATTACTCCTATAGAATCCAAAATAAATAGACTCTTATTTGAAAATTATTTGTGATTTCAGTTAAATGTACTCCAGAAACATAAATGATCTGTGTCTAGATGTTAAAACTATTACTGCACTAATATCTTCATTAAAGACAGCAATAATTAGACAGAGAAAATGATGTCATTAACTCTGAAAAAGAGGGTTCTTTAAAATCACATATGGTAAGTGATATGGTTTCACTGGGTCCCCACCCAAATCTTGAATGCCCAAGTATTGTAGAATGGTTCTGGTGGGAGGTAATTGAGTAATGGGGGCAGGTCTTTCCCATGCTGTTCTTGTGAAAGTAAATAAGTCTCATAAGATCTGATTGTGCTATGGGGGTGGGGGTTTCCCTGCACAGGCTCTCTCTTTTTGCCTGCTGCCATTCATGTAAGATGTGACTTGCTCCTTCTTGCCTTCTGCCATGATTGTGAGGCTTCCCCAGTCACGTGAAACTGTAAATCCGTTAAACCCTTTTTCCTTATAAATCACCCAGTCTCAGGTGTGTCTAATACAATAAACCATGTCCCAAACCAAATGTCCATAAAGAATATGGTAGTTCTAATTATAATTTATGTTAGTATACTGTTTTCAATTTGAAATCAAAAGCTCTTTATACTGTGTCTATAAATCAATCTTATAAATTAAACTAAAACATGAATGGTGCAAAAGTTTGACAGTCACTTTATAATACTTGCAGGAAAAGTTTCTGTAGATTTGGTAAATAAATTTAACATTAAGTTCCTCCTTTTTCCTTTTATGATTGTTTTATAGTATTGTTTTATGTTTAGCTTCAGTTTTAGGAGAGAAAAATAAAACATCTTAGCATACCATATACAGTAACTTAAATTCTATGATACTATAGAAGATGACTGATTTTCCTAGCCTTTTTATCTTTCCATTTCTGTATGAAATAACAAAACCCACTGATATGGGTATTTGTGATCCACTATGCTAAAAAGCCCTGTCGTTTCTTGGTGTTTTTTATTTCATGACTGTTGTGAGCCAGATGGAAAATAGGATAAAGACATGAGAATTATTGGGCAGAACAATGGGTTTGAATTATAAAACTGAACAGTTAGGAGGGGCAGGGAAATAAGGAAAGAGAAGGCGGAATGGAGACAGGTAAAAATGCAGTGAGCATGTTCAGAAGACAGTTTGCCAGTGGAGTCACAACTTACCAAGAATCACTATAGACAATGTCAAGGGTTAACCCAATTTAAATTCAAGCATTTATCCTTTGTGTTACAAACAATTATACTCTTCTATTTATATTAAAATGTGCAAGTAAATTATTATTGGCTGTAGTCACCCTGTTGGGAAATTACATACTAGATGTTACTCATCGAAGCCTTGTTTTTAAAGTGAAAATCTCAAATGATTCTCCCCTGTGTTTTCTGATTCACTGTCCTGCACTCTAAATGGCCATCAACTCAGGAATAGAGATTATTGAGCCTCCAAGAACTACCTAATGGAGCAGTTATATAACTACCATTGGTAGTTATTCCAATAAGTTACTACTCATTTTGGTTTCCATTCCATTACAGTTTTTTGATATGATTATTTGAACCTAAAAGTGTAATGTAGTTTGGTTCCTAAGAGTTTATTAACAGAAGACAAGTTTTAACTTATGAACAACAGGTGCTGGGAATTAGTTTGTGTTACTTAAAAATGTGAATTGAATTGTATCTCATTTAGAATGAGGGATTTGTGAAAGCCAAATATAGTCACATTATCTGTAAAAAGTGTGAATGGCTCAACAATTACTCAAGAAACATGATCCATAGTGGCAACAAATATAACTGCTGTTCGTAAGACTTTGCTTTTCTATAAAGTGTTATGTGACCTGTCTTACATACAGTTTCTTTCCCCTTTTTTGCATTTATATATGCTCCCTAAAAATATAGATTATGTAAATTTCTCTAATTTCTTATTAGTTATAAATCTGAATTAGAACAAAAATAACAAGCATTCCTGCTACTGAAGAAGTCAGACTTCTTTAAAAGTATGATTTTGGGGGCAAAGGTATAAATAAGGTGAATTTATTCTATATATTGCTGTACTATTTTATTTCAAATATAGTAATGCATAAAGTTTAAAATTAAATGTGCTTTCCATGTAGATTAATACTATCCATTTCATCTTTGTCAAGTAGAAGTAATTGGTTGGCTCAGTACAATCCAGTCCGACCGAGTAGCTCTGTTGTTTTTCAGAAATGGGAGAGATTGAAAGTTTAAAAAGCATTCATCATCAGGAGAATTTGTTTTAAAAGCTTCCAAGCTCCCAAACAGCCAGTAGATAAATTACTCACTATTCAGAGAAGGAGAGCACAATTAGTTTTACATTATGCTAAACCAATCAGCTCTGTAAGTGACTATGTTTCTTGAGAAAAAAACAATATGAATGTCATAGTTTGTCCTCTTTCTCCCAGGCTTTACAGCCAACAGTAAGCCTTTTCTCATACTAGCACTTTTATGGAAAGCCTTGTGAATATGTTTTGCCACTGTTTTTAGATAAGGAGAAATATATTCATGACTTGTAACCATATGGTTAATAATATCTGCTTCACAATGCAAAGTCAATGAGGTTTTTGTTTTATTCAAATGCTTTGAAGCTCTATGGTGAGAAGGAAGACTTCAATAAATTATTTTCAAACCTACCTTTCTTCCTCCAACAATTATTTTTATGTAATTATTTACAATTAAGAAGCAAAGGAAGGTGTAAGAAAATATTATACTGGGGATAATGAATTATGCACAAAAAATCTGCAGGTTGTTTTTTTCATCTTAACAAAGTAAATATTTACTAAACAGCCATTACCTCTTTTGACACATGCAGGATGGTGTAAGAATGTACCAAATTCATGTCAACTGCCATGACTTAACCTGGAGAAATACCATGACTAGTAAACTTTATATACACAGCTGCTGCAGTATTTTTCGCATTTTCCATTTATAATAAGAAAGTGATCAATGGAGGCCTTAGAGGAAAGAGTGCAATTGCAATCATATAAATAGCCTTATTTCCTTTTTGCACACAAGTGAATCTATCAAAATTCAAACATTGTATTACCTTATTTTCATATATCAGTGTTCACCTATGGGTTACTTGTATTTTATTTTTTAAGTTATTCATTCTCATATTGATAATTGATCATTGTTGATACGTGCATGCAGGTCATATACAAAACTTCCTTTACACCACACAAAAACTAGTCTACTTATGTTGTATAATAAGTTTGAACCTTTGTGACTTGAGTACCAAATGGACTGTTCCCATGCACATAAACACAACCTGGAACTGCATGAGAAACACATTTGAATACAGCTTTCATTTTTCAAAATTCATATATATGTGATCAGTGTAGAGTATAAATTGGGTAAGGAGAAAGAGAGGGAGGAGAAAAGGAAAAAGGCAGTGAGGGAGAGAAACAGAGAAAGAGAATATATCAAAATACAGCGTCAAAATGTACTTACGTCTTATTCATGAAAGTTTCTTTCCTAGGAATATAAGTTTTTAAATGTGTTTGACTATAGAAAAGACTATTAAGTGGGTATGTTTTATTTTTAGTTCAGTTTAATTTTTTTTCTTTTTTTCATGTTAGACAGGTAATGTGCCATCATAACAAGGTTTGAAGGAGGCACATCTCACATGTGAGTGTGAAAACTCAATCATCATGTTCACTGAGTCTCTTTCAATCAGTAGTCTTGGCCAGCATGAAATCTGGGGGGCTGCAAACTTCCAAAGAAATTCTCACCACCCATTTGCCATACTCAGTCTTTTTCATAATCTTTGTATCATGGACTTCAAATCTTTAGTAAATAAAGTCAAGTTACCTAATTCTCTGGCTACTTATAAAAGGCCAACATGTCCCATCCAGACTGATGCCTTGATTTGCATGTCTTTGACTCTTAAGACATATACAGATTTTCTGTCTAACCCCGAAGACCTTTGAAGTTGATGGGATAACAGTAAGTCTAATATTTTTATCTAAATATAAAGCCCTGGAACTTGATAGGATTCTAAGATAAATACATGATTTTCCCCACTGATAGAGTCTTGCATTATTTTATCTTCATATTCAATTTCAATCAGTTATTCAACCAATTGAATTTGGGCTCTTACATAATGCTTCAGACTCATGGTTGCACCATGAAGTCTTTAGATGTTTCTGATTTTCTTTTGCAACCAAGATTGTGAAATGCAGATCAAAGACCTGTATTGGCTTTTTTTCCTATCCCAGATGCATAAGGCTTAGGACTGCACTGTTCAAAGGTAAGTATCCTATGGTCACTCTTGATAGGGGCAACAAAGATTCATAAGTAATTCAAATTTCTTTCCCTAGCCTAGAACTTTAAGTGGTTCCTACTTTGACTTGGACAAGAACTCAAGTTGAAAATAATTGCTGACCTCAGGCAGTAAATTAGCTGGATTTTTAAAAAATCGTAACATTCCATAAATGAAAACAATTATAGAATTGCCTAGAACAAAGGACCTAAGAACCTACCATCAAAATTATTTGTACTAAATATCTAATTCTTCCTTTATTCTTCTCCTGATTTAACCTTAAAATCTATCAGTATATGCATGCTATCAACAATGAAACACAAATCTCTGTATTTAAAATTTTTTTTTTATTTTCTCAGTTTCTGCAGATAAAGTGATCTGAAATAACGCATGATGCCGCAAAGCAGAAGAGAAACTGTGACAACCCCCAGAAATGTGAAAGGAGGTTTCTTACTGGACAGCAGCATCTTTGGTTCAATTTATATAAAAACCCAAATAAATAAAATGGACAGTATTGCTCAATTTTAGAATTCCATTTCTTCTATGTTTTAAGCTGTACAATTGTCAGGTTTTTATGGTTTAAATTGTAAATGTGTTTTCCCCTTTGCTAATTATGTTTTTTTTTTTAGTCTTAAAATGTGAAAGGCATTTATGAATGGTAAGGGAGACACTATATACAAATGTATATTTGTAAAAGCTATTTTTATGATTAGCATGTTTCACTGTTGATCATATATAAAAGGTGATATTGCAATTCTGTATTTAAAGCTTATTTCCAACAATGTCATGTAAGAAAATATGCATCTTATGCTAGTTTTTATAATTTATTTTTAATTTATAGTTTAAAGTACTTGAGATCATAATGATAAAATACTTGAAAAAGTTATATTTCTGCCCTGTATAAGCACCCTTTTTATTAATAAAGAATGCAGATATTTCAGATGTGATATTATAGTTAAAGAACTGTTGGTTTGATCTGTGATTAAGTTGAGCATGCTCCGCTCTACAGAACTAAAGTGATCCAATTATTCAGTCTGGGTATGAGATTCCATGGACAGGTTTTAGTGTTCATACAAGTAAGGACTAAATTGCCAAGGAAAAGACTGTCTTGCCCTTGGATCCAAAAGTTTAAATTAGTGCATACTCATGTCATTTCACCTCCTGTTCCTAGGAACTCTCCATTCCCAAGCATTGCAAGTGTTTTCCAGATAATCTTAGCTGTTGTCTTGTGCTGTGGAAATGGAAGAAACCATCTTCACAGACTGTAGGAGAATTCAACATATAATTTCTTAATAAATACTGTTTCTTTTAAAACAAAGTTGGTGTGTATCTTTCCTTTGGGGTACATTTAGCTTTAATATTCAGTTTGAACTTTCTCAGTCACTGTGCTACCACAAAATCATCACCATAATGAAAGTAGCGTATCTTTACCAAAGCATGCATTATAGGTTCTACATGCCCATACCCTCTTGGGAGTGACCTGTATTCTGGAACATGATAATTTGCCATGTAAAAGAAAGCCAGATGGCCTTCAAACCTTGACAGAAGTCATACTCCAGTTTATATTTTAGGAAAGTATATTTTTCCTCCAAATACAGAATTTTAAGAAAATATTTCAGAATACTACTGAAGATGAAACTAGTTCATCGGAGGTATTTATGTTCTGCCAGACTTAAAGTCTGTACCTAAACGACTACAAGTTCCTCATCAAAGAGCACAGAGACAACATCTACAAATGTCACCAAGGACACTTAGTAAGATTAAGCCCTTCTTTTTTCAAAGAAACTGAGGAGAGTCTAAAACCGCCTTGTTGTGTGTTCCCTTAATTTTCTATTTAATTTCTTTAAGGTAATTTATCTTATTTCTCTTTTGAAGCCAAGCTAATGAAAAACGATGCCATTTTATCCAACAAGAGGTATTAAAAACCAAAATTCTGGACAAAGAAAAAGAATTACAACTCTAATATTAAATAACATGAATACACTAAATTTTCCTACTTAAAGTCTGTAGAAAGTTGCACATAGAACCCAGGATCTGGATCAAGAATGTACTTCCTTTTCAAGGAACTGCAAAAACCATACCGTGGTGCACTGTTAACTATTTTTGATTACCAAAATAGTCATGGGAGAATTTGTGACCGCCAGAATAGACTCTTGAAACTGAAAATAACCTGCATATGGTTCTATATAAAATCAGCAGGGTGGCTTCTTGGTTTGCACCACATAGATGAATTTGCTAGGAATAATCTGATACTCCAGAGAGAAGTGTTGCAGGCACTGTGTATTAGAAAATTATGTATGTGAATATTTTTCCCAATTTGTCATTTGTCCTCATAGTGTTCAATAAATAGTGCGGCATTTATAATCCAGCATTATCATAAATTATTGAGAGTATCATATTTTCCCCAATGGACATTATTCTCAAAATAAGATAAATAATTAAAGTGTATAAAAATAATTCTTTGTTACTGGACTGGATTTTCTCCACATAGACCTTGAAATATAAAACCATGGATCTTTCTCTCTGTTACCAGTTCCTGGTTTAAGAATTTTTAATGACAAAGATGGAATAAAATATATATCAAATCAAAGTATAGGTGATTTAGGATTGTAATCCCTAAATGTTTGGTTTAACAACTTAAAAGCTTTCAAGGGCTGAGGAGGTGAATGTGAGCTTCTTCTAACTCCAAATAATGTCAGTCTCATAAAACAATGCTAAGGGAAAAAGATAAAGAAGGACATTACTCACTACATTAAATTCAAGAAAAAATATGAAAAATTAGGCCCATTGCTTAAAGGTAGGTAAACTGGTGACTCATGGAAATGTGAAAAGGGAAAGCACTAATTTTGCTTTCATCTTCAACAAAAGAATAGTTATCAAAGCAGAAATGCACAACCAAGTGAATTAAAATAAAAATGAAGCAGAAGATAAGCCAGAAAGAAACTATTTAAAATTGTTAAGGGGTTAAAGGTTTAGAGAACAGGCCTGATGCAGTTGCTCACACCTGTAATCCCAGCACTTTGGGAGGCCGAGGCGGGTGGATCACGAGGTCAGGAGATCAAGACCATTCTGGCTAACACGGTGAAACCTGTCTCTACTAAAAATACAAACAAAAAAGAAAATTATCCAGGCGTGGTGGCGAGTGCCTGGAGTCCCAGCTACTAGGGAGGCTGAGGCAGGAGAATAGCGTGAACCCAGGAGGAGGAGCTTGCAGTGAGCAGAGATCGCACCACTGCACTCCAGCCTGGGTGACAGAGCGAGAATCTGTCTCAAAAAATAAAAATAAAAAAGTTAGAGAACAATAGCCGGGCGCAGTGGCTCATGCCTGTAATCCCAGCACTTTGGGAGGCCAAGGCAGGCGTGTCACTTGAGATCAGGAGTTCAAGACCAGCCTGGCCAACATGGTGAAACCCCATCTCTACTAAAAATACAAAAATTAGCCAGGCATGGCAGTGCATGCCTGTAATCTCAGCTACTTGGAAGGCTGAGGCAGGAGAATCACTTGAACCCAAAGGGGCAGCGGTTGCAGTGAGCTGAGATGGCGCCATTGTACTCCAGCCTAGATGACAGAAGGAGACACCGTCTCAAAAAAAAAAAAAAAAAAGGTTTAGAAAACAGAAGTTACAAATGCAAATACTTATAAAGCCCTGATAAGAAATATAAATAAAAGAAATAACCGAGAATTAAGTTAGTAGATGTTAAATGCAGTTCTGTTGATGAGTAGATAACCATCTCTCAGTTTCGTCTGGGCACCTGAAATGAAGAAATTCTGAAGAAACGAAGACCTGGATTGACCAAGTTTTCTGATTTTTCCAGAGAAAATAGACCTCCAGAGTTTAAAATGAGATATTTCATTTTGTTTATTTTGCTCTATTCTAATGTGAATCCTGGTATGATTTATATCCAGGATTTACTAATTATAAGACTTAAAAAGAATAAATTCTTTGTAACTAGAAACAACAAAGTCAGGATTATCTCTGGTGAGAAACAGAGGAAAATAGAATCTGGGAAATAGGAGTATTCAACGACATCTGTAATAATCGATTTACTAGGAAAAATGTTTGAATCAGACATGGGAAAATGTTAAGATTTGATAAAACTATAGACTACGTTGATATTCATTATGTTTCCTCTATGTTGCTTTTTAGGGTTAAAATACTTCCTTATAATAAAAGTATGTGATTTATATCTCAAAGTTTCTATACATAGATAAGTTTCTATGTATAGATCTATACATAGAAATAAAGTTTTTCTATAAAAAGTTTCTACACATAAATCTATCTATACATAGATATAGATGTACATATATTCATGATACAGAGATGTGGGTGATATAAAAAGCATAGATAAAAGTGGTAATTTGAAATAGACTGTGACTTTGTGTTCTACCTTTTCTAGAGATGTTCAAATTCCTAGGCAAGAATATAACCTAGAGAGAGATGCACTAATGTTCAAAGGCATTCTTACAGAGGAGGAAAGTGCACATGAATTTATTTTGCTGTTGTTGAAGAGGCTTCCTATCAGCACTGGAGATATCTGGAAACTCTAGAAATTTGAATATGAATCATGCAAGAATTTGGGGTACCTGAATATAAAAAATAGTTGCCATGTTTATGTGCTACTCGTATAAGGTTAAGCGCTTTGCCTTTTCTGTCTTTATACTCTGTACAAATGGTGTCTTGGACATAACAATTGATCCACATATGTTCACGGAATTAGATGAAACAGGGTTTTAGGTTATTACCATATTATAAAAATAACAAAAGCCATAATTTGTTCAGCAAGTACTATGTGCTGAGCACTGTGCTAATTACCTTATATGCATTATCACTAATGCACAAAGGAAAATTGCATGGTAGGTATTGTTACCCCCAGTTTACAGGTAAAGAAAGCAGATAATTTGTTCACTCATCAATTCTTTATTGAGTACCAATTCTGCGCCAAGCACTGTTCCCAGCAATAGGGGTCCAGATGTAAATAATAAAGACTGAAATGCCTCACTTTAAAAAGCTTGTACTCCTCTGGGGATGACATGCTAACAGGCCAATAAACAAGCACGTGTATAGTATTTCAGACGAAAATGATGATAAACACAAAGGGAAAAACAAAGCAGAGAAGCATAATGGGCTGATGAGGTTTTAAATGAGCGTTTCAAATGGGCCCGTCAGGGAAATTTCCTTGGTAAGGTGGCATTTGGACAAAGATGTGAAGCAGGGGAGAGGGTGAGCTATGTGACCATTTATGGAAAAAGTCTCCTGAACAGGGGACAGCAAGTAAATGCCCCGAAGCAGGAATATACTTGGTGTGTTTAGGAACAGCAAGCATGACAGTATGTTTGGATTGGAAAAAATGAGGGAAAGAAAAGAGATGAGACGAGAGAAGAGCTAGAATTCCAGATCACAGTGCCTTACAGATGAATCTGAGTGCATTGGCTTTTATTTTGCATTGGATGGAAAAACAGGGGAAGGTTTTGAGCAGAATGATATGATCTCACATAAGGGTTAAAAGAACTATGTGGGCTGCTACATTGAGAAAAGACTAAAGAAATGGAAGGAACCCAGAAATCCCTATTTTGTAGGTTAAGAAACCACTACATGAGCATGGCCTGTGACTAGACTGGTCTAATCAGAGCAGAGAAGCATGTTCATTTACTCACCAAATATTTTTTGAGCCTTAACTGTATTCTATATGTGTATATAACAATGGGCATGCAATGGTGAATACAAACACATTTCCGTTCCTCAAAGTACCTGGTCTGGTCTAGTGAACAATTCTGAGAAATAGCAGAATAAAGATGGAAAAAATAAAAACGTCTAAAATGATATTACAAGTTTAAAAGAACACTGGCTGCCAAAGTCTTGCTTTTTACAGCTCTGATGCAAATGGATAAACATTTTTTAAATTACCTTTGATCAGTTGACTGTAACAGAGCAGCACAGGTGCCCCAAAGTATAGCAGGCAAAGCTCAGATTTACCACAACTTTTTACACTGACTCCACAAACTAGTTGTACATTGAAGAAAATATAGCTATTCACCCAAACACAAGGGAATGTTTTTCCACATTAGCCACGGTGATGGCACACATCCGCATACTCATCAGCTCCTCCCTTTAGACAGCCAAGATAATGCTTCAATTCTTAGAACACAAAATGGTAGCCAACTGCACAGAACAAATTTGACGACCCATCAGTCAGCCCTTCCTCAACTATAAGATCCTGGTTTTGTTCAAATATCAAACGGCCAGTGTATTAGTTCGTTTTCACACTGCTATAAAGAACTACCTGAGATTGCGTAATTTATTTTAAAAAAGGGGTTTA